CAAGCCACAAAAGTGTGCCTTGAATTCACTGGGGAGCTTTTCAGGGCAGTGTCCCCCACGCCGCTCGCGCGGGAGGGGACTGGAGCCACCTGTGAGCAGCTCAGCCAGATCAACGGAGGTGACGTGTGGCGCGTCCCTAATGAGCTGCTTCGTCCTCCCGTAGGGTCTGGAAAAATACGTGAAGGGCCGAGAGTTTCGCACACCTTTGATCATCGACGAGGACGGGATCCACGAGCTGGTGAAGAACGGGATGTAGCGGCGGCACGGTGCCCAAACTGGGCCGCCCGTCCCGCCCGGCAGGCTGGGAATTCGGACACATGAAGGTTTATTGCTGTACCTGGTAGGGGCTGATCCTGCTCGCTCTGACCCTGGGCGGAGGAGGATATAATCCGCTCAGTTCTCGGCACGCTGTACGCTCCTATTTATATTTTAATTTAAAACCCAAACACTTTATGGATTCCCCTGCCACCAAGCACAGCTACGGCGCCGCTCTTTGCGCTCCAGGCTGTGGGCACCTCTTTTTAAACATGTATATAGTAACAATCATTGTACATGCAGAGGATTTTTACGGTACGGGGCTGGGGTTAATCTTGAATCTTTATTTTTCTCAAAATCTACATGACTTTTTTTTTTTTTTTTTTTTAAAAGGGTCATTGTCCGTGTCCTCCCTTTTGCTCATCCTTTGTACGTTGCACAACTGGAAGCCCCCGATTAAACTCTGAGGCCCTCCTCTCTGTCACCTGGTTTTCTTGGAGTGACAGTGGCTTCCCACAGGGGTCTGCCTGCGTCGCACCCAGCGCCCCGCTCTGCCCAGCTCAGCGGCAGCTGCCCTCCCTGGGGCTTGGTGGGGGGGTCACAGGCAGGTCCTCTGCCCCATGGCACTTGTTTACGTGGGTTTGGAGGAAGCGGAGGGCTGCGCTTTCCTCTTGGGTTTCTGCAAGTGGCGGCAAGCCTCGAGCAGGTAGGAACGGGTGGGTGTGCAGTGCTGATGGGGTGCTCGGGGTGGAACCGGCCCGGCACGGTGCCCTCCGGCAGCATCACCTGCCCTCTGCTTTTCCAGGGAAGGCTCTTCAGCTCCTGCACAGCCCACTGTCCCGAGGTGAGGTGTCGCCATGCCCTTGGGCAGAGCGGCTCTGCTGCCTCCCATCCTTTTTGGGAGGGGAGATGGTGCTCATCTGAGTCCTCTGCTGCTCCCAAGAGCTGCTGCAGCCCCTGGGGTGGGATGGCACAGCCTCCCACTGCTCCGTTGCAGCCTGGGGAAGGATTGTTCCCTTGCAGGGCTGGGAATGGGGCCCAAACTGCTCCCCCCCTCCCAGGGAAGTCCTCCGAGTGCCAAAGTGGCTATTGGGCACCCTGGGCTCAGGGAGCACTCGGCTCCCGAGGCAGCATGCCTGGGAAGCTGGGGCGGTGCGGGGGGTCCCGGCCGGTATTGTGGCTGCTGGTGGCTTGCCATGGGCCAGCTGGGCTGCGTGTGGCCGAGGCAGGCTGGCAGCCATGGGGCCCACAGGGGACAGCCTGGGATGGGGGCCAGAGCGGATGCGGGGCGGCGCGGCTTTTTTGCAGGCGAGCAGCAATGGGTCCCACAGGGGACAGCCTGGGATGGGGGCCATAGCGGATGCGAGGAGCCGTCGCAAAGTGCTGGGGGTGGTCTGCGGGTCCCCTGCCCACCGGCTCTGCTGGGCCCTGGGAGCAGCTGCTGTGGGAAAGGGACATCCTCCACTCCCCAGGGAACAGGCAGATG